ATCTAACGCTTCAAAAAAATGTGTCTTCTTTACAAGCTAAAGCAGTCAATGTTAGAATTTTCTTTTTTTTTGTTTCTTTTCTAGACGACTTCATAGTTCCAGGGCGACAGCTTGGTGTAGCAATCAGTTGCTTATTCGAAGTAAGAACAGATTTTCTGAATTTCTCGCTTTGATGCCGAATATTAGCTTTTACCTGATACCCTACCTGACAGGAGTGACAATAAAAACCATCCTCTTCTTGAGACTTCTCCTGTTTTTTTACTAGCACACATGAGTCCTGAGGTGTATATGTAAGTAAACATAGGACTTAGTTGCTGAAACCTTTATGATATATGCGTGGTTGTCCCCTTGCCTTCTGGTACACTTCATGAGTATAAATTGATTTGATGCAGTGATTTTCAGCGGGAATTTGCACAGAGGTGGGCGAACACGCGACGCCAAACCACTCACATGGGACAAGTTCTTCGATGAGAATCGCCAGGTCGATGTGGATGGTGACAGCTTCAATGTCTACCTTAAGGTTAGAGAAAGAATTAATTGGATTCTTTATCGGCCAGTTGTCCAGATAAAATTTGCTTTTTTTGTTACTTTTTTGATTCCAACGATTCCCAAGCCCTAACTCATATAGTAGTCCATTATTTCAATTATTTGATGCTTCCACCTTATATTTTCGAATAGTCAGTTACTGATTACAAAGAGCAACCAAGTAAAAGTTTACTTTTTTTCCGCGTTGTTGTTGTCGTTTCGGTCACTATTTGTAAAAGTTCTTAGGGCAAAATTTGGTTTTTTCTAGTCGTCGATGATTAAGGCGTCAAAATCAATCTGATCTGGTTTTACTAAAAAAATCAAAGAAATCTGATGACTTCGAATTTTGGGTCATATTTAGTTAAAAGAGGCCAGCGAACATATTGAAAGTCTATCCCCTAATTAGCAGTTGCTGTACTAAATTAGCATTTTTTACAGGGCACTACTGGGCCAGTATTTTACTTTCTCCATGGTGGTGGATACTCAGCATTGACGTGGGCATGTCTTGCGGTGAGCTCGCAAAATTTTTTGGATCAAGCCATCTTCTTTTTCATTACAGAGATCGGTTTATATCAATTGAATCGCTTTTAGTAGTCGGCTTTATTTACCCTTTACTGCCCCTTCCTTTAGGAACTGAGCTGGATTTTTTTCTGAGATTTGTAAATGGTGGTGAATGAAACTAATAAGTTCTCGATGGAGGATAGACCTATAGAATACGAAATATCACATCTGTTTGACGCGAAGACTTTTGGCCGTCCCACAGGCGCCGGTGCCACTTCTTCAGCTGAAAATTCAATTCGCTGAAAACTTGCACTCATAATCAGAGGTTTTTATTAGGGGACAAGGAACTGTTCTGGCGTGCGCAGAAGTCAGCGCAAAAATAAGTAGTGTGATTTTCGTACTCAAAGTCGAACTGTCTTTATTGCAACTTTTTGGTCAAATCTACCCCGATTTTACAAGTTTCAAAGAAACGGTCAAGTTTTCGAAGAGTGGGGCTGTAAAGGGTGCATGATGCCAATGATTTTTCTCGTAATGGCAAGCTTTGGGCTACACTATTGAACCAGGGTTTATTTCAAGGGGAGAGGCTTGTGTGGTTGCCGCTTATAGCAATGCCCTTTTCTTGAAATTCCTTCTCTGCAAATTTGGGATCATTGTTCCTATGCTCCTCCCACCTCTCCATTAGTATGTATCCATGAATACTTAGACATGAGAAATCTTCTCCATTGGATGCGCAGCAAGCGATTCACTTGCCGGGCAAAAAAAAAATTATACCCCGCCGTTGCTTCTCATAAAGATATTTTCTGAATGTTTGAAGACTAACGGAACCTCCCAGCATCGCAGTCGCATCCAGTGCCGACTGTTAGTACCTGATCTTCGAGGGCATGGTCTGACCCATACTCAAGACGATAAGGATCTGTCAGCTGAGCGACAGACGAGGTGCGCCTTTGTTTCATTCAATTTCGGAAGGTCTATCTGCGGATCTGAATTATCGTTTCATACACCAAAGTTTTCATGGGGTGTTTGAACCTTTGAAGAGTTCTCCCCACAAATAGTCCTCTTTCATGAACTTACTTTCTTGAATTTTGCGAAATATTTTCATCGGCGTTAACCTATGTTCAGAGATATTATTGGAATTTATAATGCAGTTTTTGGCGGTGAATGCGAAGAAGATCCGCCTCTCGTGTGTGTTGTTGGTCACAGGTACTTTCTTCGCTCATCTTTTATTTTGTTTCTAGCGCTAAACTTATAATCCGTACTCGTAATTCAATGCCACTTGAAGTGGCTATCTAACAAGGGAAGGATATCCCAGGTCGAAGTGGCCATTTGTAACGAGACATACACCACTAGATGTGTTTTTGGACGCTGATCTCGAATCTGCTCTCCAAATCTGCGGAACGATTCCCTGAACGTAGTTATGAAGCGAGATAGTGCAGTGGCAGCGGCCCAGGCCGACGGAAAAGAGGTCGTGGGATCGAATTCTTGGCGATATCTCACATTTGCTTTCCTTGAGACATTGCTAAAGATGCTTTTATCCATAGCGATTGCCTATATTACAAGTGGGAATAGCTAGCGAGGAGCATCTAACACTGTGCGCGCCATTCGCAAAAGATCGCCCCTTGTACTCGTAGCGCACGCGTCAGGCGCATTCGTGCCAAACAGAGGTGATATTCGTATTCAGCGCGTCAAAATGCCCCTTTCCACAACTTTTGGTCCAAATCTGAAATTTGTACCTAACTTTGCAAATGTGGGCAGTCACCGTTGGTCATTTGCACATGGCACGCACACTTGATCGAAACTCCTCGCTATCTCCTCGCACTAGTAATAAAGGCGAGTGCTGATGACTTAGCATAGATGAGGATTTCCTTAACAATGTCCTCAGGAAAAGCAAAAGTCAAAACTCGCCGAAAATTCGATCCCACGACGTCTTTCCCGTTGGCCCGGGCCGCTGCCACTGCACTATCTCGCTTCATAACTACGTTCGGAGAATCGTTCCGCAGATTTGGAGAGCAGATTCAAGATCAGCGTCCAAAAACACATCTAGTGGTGTATGTCTCGTTACAAATGGCCACTTCGACCTGGGATCCTTCCCTTGTAAGACGTGTACGGAATAGCGCTTTGATGGATGACTCTGCAACGGAGTCTGGCAAATTAGTTATAACCGTACCCAATTTCGGTTCGTACATAAGAAGAAAACTAACGGGATGAGAATTTTCAATAGGAAAAGTTTTTTCATCTCTAATAATCATATGCATACCTTGGCCCTGCCATTACACGCAATTGGTGGCGCGTTAAGCAGTGCAGTGTCTAAAGCCGCACGTAATAGTGAATATTCCAAGAACGATGGGTAATCCTATTAGTGTCATTGATGTGGTGGAAAGGCTTAGGCCATGGAAGCTCTTGGAGGAATGGTTTGTTTTCAAATACGATCTCTATTTTTTTGCAATTTCCAAAACTAGTTACTCTGTAGTGAACGCAAGGGTGTCAGTCGCTAAGACAGAAAGCTACTTTTTTGTTCCGCAGTGCAAATTTTTTTCTCTGCCGGAACCTCAGGTCCACCTTCGATTATGAGTGGACCCGGGGTTCCTGCAGTGAGAATTTTTGATGCAGCAGAAACCGAAGGTTGCATTCTGCCCTAGCAATCCCTACCTTAGAGCAAGCGACCAAGACGTTAATAGTTCGAGCATAGTTTCAAAATTCAGAACATATCTCTTTTCCCACGAATATTGAGCTTTGCGAGACGCGTCTTTACTTATACTACAAATTGCACTACATCAAAATCATAGGGCAACACGAGTATACCATTGCCTTCGAGTACTCGATTATCTGTCGTAAAATAGCTGATTTCGAGTTCCAGCTAACCTTCCTCCGTGGACGCCCGAGCACATTTGAGTCCGAGGAGAAAGCTGTCACCTGGTGCCTGCAGTCGGGTGCAACTAGGAATCGAGAGGCAGCCAGAATCTCAATGCCATCACAAATCAAAAAGACGGAGGACGGAAAGGTCGCAACTTCGCTCTAGGCTACATCAATCAAAGCAAAAGCAGCTTCCTCATTTTCAGTACACATGGCGTATAAATTTAATGGATACAGAACCCTTTTGGGTTGGTTGGTTTCAAGGTTTATCAGCCAAGTTTCTGTCGTGCACCCCTCCGAAGCTGCTGGTGCTCGCTGGTGTAGATCGGCTCGATAAGGATCTCACGGTTAGCTTTTTTGCAAATGTTCTTTACTCTGAGCTCCATGACGAGCATCTTCCTGTTTCTATGTTTCAGATAGCCCAAATGCAAGGCAAATTTCAAAACACAATTCTTCCGAAAGTGGGGCACGCCGTGCACGAGGACAGCCCCGACCGGTTGGCGGACGAGTTGGCTCGATTTGCTCTACGACATCGCTTCGCTGAAGCTGTGCCAGGAGCACGACCACTCGCCGCACATCCCATGATGGGTATGGGAATGATGATCTAGCGCAGTGCCTGAGCGTCTATGCTGCTCAGTTCTTTGTATTTTTCGTGCTTTAGTCCATGTTTTGTACATCGTGTAGGGTATCTGGTCTAAAATTTATCATAAATGTTACGAACATTAGGCTTGGCAGGCCTGGCGTAACCACATTCAAAGTTCTTTCGCTTCACATAGATTTTTATTGTTATTAAATTTTTGACGCTTCTTGTTTCAAGACACTATAGAAACTCTGCGGTAGGGTTTTCAGTCTAAAAATACAGGCAAACAACAGAGTGGGGTCATGTGTGCCTGCCATTCGGAAGCGATGATTTTGGTACTACATAGGTGCGTGCCAGGCTCATATTTATTGCTTTCTTCCCTATTTATTCTCAAGAGTGTATTGTTTATAGGACACAAAGATCACCAGCACTACAGTGGCAGGATCTGCGCTCGAAATGATGGTTTCATGGGGTGTGCACTTCGCCATCGCTGACAAAGGGACTCCTAGAAACTCAGGCGAGACTTGAATGATAGATATCCAGTTGCAAGGCTGCGTCTATTCTCAAAGAGAAAAGTTGCAGACGGCGCATCAGTATACGAGGGCTGCATTTTTGTGCCCGGGATTGATATACCCTCTTTCCCAAAACCAGATGCGCGTCGAGCGCAAACCAACCACCACTAGTGGTTCATAGCGATAGCTGACACTCGGTAAATGGTAGCTGTAATTAGTGACAACTGAGAATACAACTGCAACAGGCTAATCATTTCATTGGCAGAAAACATTTACATTTTGTGGAGGCCGTCGTCACTTGTGGTGTGTGGTCTGCACTCGATGCGCATCTGGTTTTCGGAAGCAGGATATATACTTGCCGTCAGCCGTTAAGGTAGATGAGTTGTAGACAACTACTAATAAGTGCCACTACCAATAAGGAGAAGCTAGTTTTGCATGTTTGCAGAGAATAGACGCAGTTCGAAAAGTGCTTCTTCACTAGACACGGCTTAAAAAATTCAAATGCGCCCTCAAATTATCTCAAGGCTGCATGGGCTCATCCATAGCTCGTTTCATTCGCTGATAAAATTGACACAATAGAGGCTGTCACGTTTCTGCAAGGGGCAGCAGCACCCAAGTGTCAGCATAAGTTATTCACGCATATCTCGACAGACTACTCACTGGGTGCCGATCAAAAAGATCCCACAATATTTACGTAGAGGTGCTTCATGCAGATATTTTATAGAAGTTTCTAGGTCTAAGGGTATGGAGGCGATTTTCTAATAGAGAAAATTCTTCTTCTTCTTATTCTTTAGCGTCTGTCCCGCTTGTAGGCGGGGTCCGCTTTTCTGATGTGTTGACGCCACTTTTCCCGATTAAATGCTTGATCGGGGTGGATATTAACGACTTCAAGTCTACGTGCAACGTATCGAGCCATCGCTGCTTCGGCGCCCCTAGGCCGCTTTCCGGGCACGTCAAGGTTGAGACCGATCTTACAGACACTGTCATCTTTCGCGCGAAGGACATGACCATACCATCGAAGACGGGCTTCGCGCATCTTGTCGACAATTGGAGCCACCCCGAATCGCTCTCTGATGACATCGTTTCGAATGTGGTCTACTCGTGTGACTCCGGCTGTCCATCGCAGCATCTTGGTCTCCATCACACTGAGCCGTGCTTCGATCTCTTTAGTCGTAGGCCAGCACTCAGCACCGTAAATCGCGACCGGCCGGATGACGGTTCTATAGATCTTAGATTTGAGACGTTCTGGCATGTTTTTATCGCAGAGAACGCCAGTCATCGAGCGCCATTTCGACCAGGCTGCATTCACGCGAGAATTCGTTTCGAAGACCAGGCTGCCGTCAGACGCGATTGCTGATCCAAGATACTTGAATGATGTTGCACGAGTGAGTTCAGTACCATTGATCTTAATAGAGCCTAACTCACTCGAATCGGTGGTCAAGTACTCAGTCTTCTTAACGTTCAGCTTGAGCCCGAACATAGCTAGACGATCGGACCAGGCTTGTACCTGTTGCTCGAGCGTGCTTTTATCTTCGCTAGCGAGCATCACGTCATCAGCATAAAGAAGCGTCCATGGAGCCGGCTTCTGGAGATCTCTCGTAATGGCATCCATGACGACAACAAATAGGAGTGGGGATAACGCAGAGCCTTGGATGTACCCCGACAGAGATGGGAAAATCCATCGATGTTCCTGCTGCCGTTTGCACTCGGCTCTTTGGACTCGAGTAAAGGATGCGCACCCACTCGACGAGCTCTTCAGGCACGCCATGCTGTCGTAAGGCATACCATATAACGTCCGCGGAACGCGGTCGAATGCCTTCTCCAAATCTAGGAAGGCAAGGTGCACCGGTCTTTGTTTCTCGCGATGCTTTTCTAGCAGCAGAAGGCGAGCGGCATGTATGGCATCGATAGTGCTGCAACTAGCCACAAAACCACACTGGTTGGTGGTCAGCTCGACGATGTCCCGGATACGGCTATCTACAACTCGCTCAAAGATTTTCATGCTGTGCGAGAGCAGGCGAATTGGACGATAGCTAGTGCAGTCTCCTGGACTGCCCTTCTTCTTCCAGATAGGAATCGTCGTGCTTTGTTGCCAGCTTTCAGGCACCTTCTTCTCTGCAACGATCTGGTTGAAGAACTCCGTCAACCATTCTGCAGGATTCCAGCATTTGATTTCCACAAGTCGCCGCTAAGTCGTCAGGACCAGTTGCTTTGCCTGATTTCATCTTCTTCATGGCCGTGATGGTCTCCTCCACGGTTATCTTCTGAACGGGACCGTGTACTGGCGGAGCGCAGGGGATGGCGGGATGAGTAAATTCGACTGTTGAGATGTTTTCGAAGTAGTCACGCCATCGTTTCAGTGTTTTCTTGCGGTCCGTCAAGAGGTGGCCATTCTCGTCATTTATGCCGAAGAATTTTTCTATATCCTCGGTCTGGCGATGGCGGGTCTTTGCAAGTCGGTAAACGTACCGCTCTCCATCGCGCGACTCGAGTTTCTTACTGATATCAGCAAAATGAGCTGCTTTCGCAGAAGCAACGGCCTTCTTTGCCTCTTTCTTCGCTATCTGATAGCTCCGCCAGTTCTCAGCTGTCTTTTCGTGAAGAAATGCGTGGTACCGCTTCTTCTTTTCGCGCACTTTCTCTCTGACCTGGTCCGTCCACAGCCACGTTTGCTTGTCAATTCTCCGCCGTCCCGGCTTCGTCATCCCGAGCTCGGATCGAGCTATCCGAGTTATTTCTTCGGCAGCACCTTTCCAGGTTTCGTCGACAGTCGTTACCGCTGGTAATTGAATGCGGGAAACGACGGCCGCTTCTTTTTCCTTCAGTCGCCACCACTTGATTCTCGCTGGCCCACACCCTTTCGGTTAGTTTCGGTTTCGGCGGGGCGATCTTTAGCGTACAAATTAGTGGTCGGTGTTGCGTGGCGACCGTTTCATAAGGCACTGTTTTCGCGTCTGTTACGAGCCCTTGGTCGCGGCGCCTGACAAGTACGAAATCAATTTGTGTTCTGGTGTTACCGCTATAGAAGGTGATGAGATGTGAGTCGCGTTTTCGGAATTTCGTGTTCACAATGGCGAGGTTGTGCGAGTCTGCATACTCGAGAATTCGCTCGCCATCAGTGTTACGTGACCCATATCCAAAACCACCATGACAGCTGTAACCGTCTTTCGTAGCGCCAACGTGCCCATTGAGGTCACCTGCGACAATTATAGCTTCTTGTGACGGAACCTCAGCTGTCTTCTCATCAAGCAGGATTCCAGAACTTATCTTTGGCTTGCTCGGAGCATCCGGTCTGCGGAGCGTACGCAGAGAAGAAGTGGTATTTTCGTTGTTCAATGACGACAATGATTTTCATTAATCGGTCGTCGAAGCGCTCCACGTTTACTATCGAATCACGAAAGCGTTCAGAGACAATCATCCCGACGCCATTGGTGGTTTCCTGTCACGAGGGCCTGTCGCCTGCATTCGAATGTCCGTGGTCGGCTCAGCTCACAAAAGGTGAGCAGTTTCCAGTGGCACCACTTGGAGGAACGGACATCGCCACCTTCTAAAGAGAAAACTTGTCATTTTGAAAAGTGTAAAGCTATTTTTGTTGCGGTTAGCTAAATTACTGACACAGCTTCTGTTACAACATCTATTCTCAAACTCGTATACCGATTTTGGAGCGGAAAATTAGGTTTTTCATACCGAGCTCACCCTTTTTAGGCAATACGATTCTGAGAAGATTTGTCACGAGAATGACATTCGAAAGAGACTGAAGGAAACGATGCTGTGACAGTTTCCAAGTTCAGTTTTGACCCTGACATTAATAGCGCTGATACATCCCGGCTCTAGGAAGCACTTTTGGGTATGGGCCGTAAGGGTGCTGTCCAACACCAATTGCCCAATGGCCGATGTCAGACTTTGCGACTGGAGCGATCTTGCTAATCGCTGCCACGCCCTTCGATCGATACCCTGAGAGAGCATCTCACTCTGGTTCTATAATGTAATCTGGTGACTAGCAAATGGGAACTATCTAGGGTCAGGGATGGACATCTCCTCATTCAAGGGAGAATGAATAGCACTACGGTTAACCAGCATCCTATGACATAGCTTGCAAATGCAGCCTGCACTCCTGTTGCTTTCTTTGTTGAGCGCGCTTGATCACTGATGTCTACAAGAGCAGGCTTTTAATAAACTAGTAAAAATGATTGTCTGCTGACCACGCGCTTCATGGACGAATTCAAAGTGCTACCCTCCGGCGCAGAGCACGATGACAACACTTTTCACGTGAATGGGAGCTGCCTGGGCTCCGCCCACTTAGAGTTCGTTCTTCAACTCGTCCACTCACTCCGGCATAGCGTATTCCCTTTCTCGATTCATCCAGCTGTTGTCGAGTCGTTGATTCCTTTTCGATAGCTGGAGGAGCCCAGCTGTGGTCCAGGCGTTGATTCCTTTTCGATAGCTGGAGGAGATGTTTTAGGAACATTTTATAATTGTTACTAAGTTGATGATCACCTTTTTGTTTGTAACATTA